AAGCCCGGTCTAGGTAGGGTTAACCCGTCTGCAATATCCTTCGCAATCGCCAGCTTTGTCTTGCACGAAAAAAAACAAACTGTCTGCTGTCAAGAAGTTCGTGTGACAAAGTGCGCCTGTAAAAACAGCGAACACTGCAATATGTATACAAGATTAAGGACTATCTACATTACTCTGGAACAGACCTAAACCAACCGTGTCCATTACAACCTGACCTAAAGGTCATGCGGAACCACACACATAAAAACGGACACACATTCACGTCCCATATATACACACTAAAAACATACCAAAACAATTTTTCATGGAGGTTGATATCGGAATTATGGAAACAGGGGACGCCAAAAACTATGATCTACTGCTACGCGAGTAAAGTCCTGTCACTGCATGTTTTATTGTTGCTTTTGCTTTGGTTTAAACCCATGCTCAACGGCCGGTAGGGAATAGAATGAAGGTTTTTAATATTATCATCTTAATCACATGCACTTAAAAAGAATTAAAGGGACACTAAAATTGAAATATTTTATTTAAAATATTTGTGTAGGTATAGTTTACTTCGACTTTTCAGCATATGTGCAATTAATCCATTGTTGGTACTCTAACTACCTAAATGAGGAGCACTCAGTTTGTGGTGCCACCACAAAATACCAGAATGTAAACAAACATTACTGACAGTGCTGTCTTTAGCTTTAAAACACCTTCTTTGGAGTGATACTTTTGCTCCTACGCTTCTCCACACTTGAGTAAAGCTAAATTAAATTACTTTCTAAATTTTCTCACAAAATTAACGTTTAGTACCGTTCCTAATGCCAATTTTAACTGGGTAATGTCTTCCATCTTACCTTGAGGTACAGTTTGGGTAATGCCGGTGCGTCGTAACGGTCTGCCGTCCTCATCCAATGCCCAAACCTGATTGGTGGAGGAACTGACACTGATTTGTTTGATTCTGACGTCACTGATCCAAAGCCAATTAGGCTCGAGTACGTCTGGGACTGATGGTTCTACATTTGGTGTAAAAACGACAAGAGATCGTCAGGTCATAGTGTTTATGTGTTTCTGATTGCCCTTAGAACCTTTTTTACAGTGAACAAAAATCAATATTGTCCAGCCAGAATTGTGTATTCGTGCAGGCACAGAAAATTTTTCTCTTTGACTTTGTGTATAGCTGTTTTTTTTCACACACAAAAAAAAACTTTTATACAAAAATATATGGCGTTTACAAAAAAATATCCTTATGTATATCCTGCAAGGGTTGTCACATTTTAAATCGCTTTTCAAGTCCATCGAGGTTAGTTAACACTGACTTAATTTTATGGATAATATCCACTAAAGACCCGCAAGCTAGTGCGCGCGGGCGAATTCAGGCCTTAACCCTCAACAGTACACCTTCCCGGACTGATTAATCTGTACACCTGGGGTCCGCGCGGACCCCAGAGCAGTTTTTTGCTAATTTTTAGAATTTATCAACATGCTACCAGCTCAATTGTTTTGCAAACTGATGTGGGAACCTCTGTGTCCACATTACAAACAAATATTATACATTTTGAACTTTTTCTATTTTTTGGTGAAGAAAAGAAGACAAGAAGAAATACCCGATTTTTAAACCCATTTCAGACTGAAAGGGGCTTTTGAGGCCCAACTTTGACCTCAGATAGCGGCTAAACGGCTTGCGCTAGAAGTATCAAATTTGGAGACCTTTCCTAAAATGTCTCTGGAAAAAAGTTCATATTAGTTTAATACTAGTAAGTTGATGTTTTTTTGTGTTGCCATGGCAACGGGTTTCTAGCAGGATTTTTTTTTAAATAGGAGTAATTTTGGTTTAAACATAAAAATTTTCTGAGTTTTATATTAAATTACACTTCTTTTCCAACATTAATAACATCTTACATAATCATATATAAGTTAAATCATTTAATATGCATAGAATATGCTAATTTGATGACGTCATTGGTCAAAATCCAATATGGCGGACTATATTATTAGCTCTGACGTCATATGACGTCATAATTACACCAAAGTTATTAAAATTTAATTCTATTACTACACCATTCTCTGAAAACTTGGTAGACATACGATGAGTGCATAAAAACATATAAAAACGGAAATAAGGTAATGTATAAGAACGCCAGTGTATCCATTATGATCGAAAGCCGGCTGGGGTCCGCGCGGACCCCAAAAGAAAATCAGATATAATTTTTTTTATAAATGGTAGAAACGGAGTTTTCTGCACTGTATTGAGAGACAACTTTGTGGGTGACAATTACCTAAAATTTCAGAAAAAAATCTTTAGAAACAAAAAAGATACTACAGAATATATAGTGCTGGGGTCCGCGCGGACCCCAGGTGTACTGTTTAGGGTTAAAAATGTTGCTCAACTACAGGAATACAAAGCTGGTTTTGTAGATTTGCGGTTGTACATGGATACTTTTGATTTGATTAATTGAAATTGCAACAATGCAATACACGCGGAACAGAGGCAGCTGTTGCTGGTGTTGTGTCCCACACATAGAAACAAATACAGTCAATATTCATAGTGAAGAAATTCGTGTAAAAACGAATGCATCCTCTACTGCTTTCTTAGCATAGCAGCTTTGTCCAAAACTTTTATATGGGTTATAAAATCTAAACTATATACGTGAATATAATTGTATAATCTTATTTGTTTAGTTATATCTGAATAGTTTTGTATATCTTATAAATTGTATTTGTATGTATACGTAACGGTTATATTCTCTCCCAGGGTTGACAGTAATGATCTATGACTACTTGGGTAACCATGTTGTTATGCGAACTAATAAATAAATCTTAAAAAAAATCTAACTTACCTGATCGATCTTTTACCGCCTCATACCGGGCCGAAAACCGCGCCCTGCGGATCACAAAGTCCGTCATGAAGATGACAAAAAGACTGTTTCCTGTCGAGATGCGGGGCATGGGGAGACATGTGCCACACATCGCCACAAGCGTGGAGAACTCAGGGTCGTGAACAACCACCTGGTCTCCATAGCAGGACTGCGTTTCATCCACGTCAAATTCCGTGAACATGAGCTTGACGTGCCGGTGTGCTGAGACGGTGATGTTCCATTGTTGATACACGGTGTTGCTGTAGGGGGAACTTGGGTAGTTCATAGAGGAAAACGTGCCAGTATCGCCTGACAGGTGGTTGATCCGCTGATACCTCTTACGATCTGTAAAACGCATATGATATCGGGTGTGTATTAGTTTAATATCCATAGACTGCTGGACCTCACGTATCGTGTTGATAACACATGTATGTAAGTCCACAGCAAGTCAATTTTATGTATGACATCCTATGCAGACTCCAAATCTAAAGCATTAGGGTGAAAAAAAAGGCGGGTCAAAAAACAATATTCTTACATTGTCAAAGTTTGACATCATAAACCTTAGTTTGTTGATTATTTACTGGTTTAAATGATACCTATTTTTTTGCTAGGTTTACTGCTAACTACATGTTTTACAGTATCCCTTTTTCACTAAAACAAGTATGAAAAATAAACATTTTCATTAATTGTACGCCTATTCAATGGGAACATCACTTGTGCACAGCCACCATCACATATAAAAGGAAATAAAACACATTATTGCATCAAAGTAAAAGACATAACATTAAATCAGAGCCTTGTCAATCCTTATTACCTTTTAAAGCCAACTTAAATGAAAGAGTAAAAAAATGATGAAACATCATGGACATACCGTCTGTTGACTTGTCCTGTACGTGATAATGAATCTTAAACCCTTCCGTTGCGACATGCCCGTCACTATGGAAGTGGAGCCCGACGGTGGACGCCATAGACACGTACTCTGTCGGTCCTTGAAAACCGCAGAATAATTGGTAGAAGCCTAGAACAACGTAAAATACAAAGACGGTCAGTTACAACCAAAGAGACTTCTGAATCCATAGCATTTATCACTGCATCTACATCCAGGCACCACAACATTCCCTTAACAGAGACGGGGGACGGCACAGACTTCTACAATGTAACGATACCGACCCACTGCTTACCTGCACCTGTATCTGCATAACGTGACGTGAGGGAAGCAGTGGATTGCTCAATCCTTGACAAATAATATAAATCCATTGTGTTGGAAATTGAAGTTTACGATACAGATACGATATGATGTATCCCGGTGTTTTTAAAAATAAGTCCAGGAGGTTATGTGTTACACTCACTCTCTCACTCACTTACTCACTCACTCACTTTCTCACTCATTTACTCACTCACTCACTCACTCACTCACTCACTCACTCACGCACTCATCACTCACTCACTCACTCACTCACTCACTCACTTAGTAAGTACTAACTAACTTACTAACTTACTCACTCCTCTTCTGAACCTAGTGGTTCTTGATGCGACGGAAATGGTTGATTTTCTACCTTGCCCTACCTGCAGCTGCATCCATGGCTATGTTCAGAGTTTTGTGTTACATGTAGGCACAATTTACATGGGGATGGTAGATTGTAGATATCGTGGCGCATGTACAGTTCTGATATTTGCTAGGAAGGTTATTATTGGGACAAAATAGGTCAAGGTAGATATTGGTTATTCTAGCGTTTTTTTTTTGTACGACCCTGCAGCGTGAACAGGATATTGCATGTTGTGTGCATACAATATTTGGTAGGTAGTTTGGGGTTGGGATAACGAACTTCAAGGTTAATATAGATTAACGATCTTGTACGGCATTCCAGAGCTGTGCATGGGTGTGAAACTGGTACTCGTATTTCCACAAAATTTTTATATTAGAAAAATATACAACGATACTACACATTGTATAACACACGGCAAAACAAAAAACTGTATTATAAAAGACTCCAGAAAGAATAGTGTAAATTAGCACACTAATAAAAACCCTAAACAAAGAATCAAACAACCAAACAAACAAACAAACAGACAGACAGACAAGAAAGTTTAACACTATAATTTCATAACTTACTTATGTATGGTATGTCCTGTACGCTGAACCAGTCATGTCGACATCTTGGTTCATACTGGATGTTAAATTCCACAAACTCCAACACCACGACCTTTCCTGGGTCCACCGATATCATCCAGCTGAGGAGTAGCATTAAATAATATCAGTATTAAAAATATTTACGCTATGAACCTCTATTAGTTAGTTTTAGTTTATCATATCTCGACATTTTCTTTATTCTTTGTTTTTTTCTTTATTTGTCTCTATTACGATGCCCTTTAGCCCAAACGCCAAATCTTTCAAGGTTCACACAAAAATAAAAATAAAAAACATATATACAACAGATAACATCAAAACATTTATCACAAAAAATATATTCTTTTAAGATGATGTTGTGATCGCATTTGTTTAGTGCTAGCATCAATTTTCCCTCCAGTCAAATAAATTCTAAAAGACATTTAGTACGATTTTCATCGATTATTACTCCGTAAGGTGGTCATTGGCCTCTGGCGGAGTATTGCAATCAGTTGTGTCTGATCCCTTTGTTGGGTTGGTATGCAAATTAGCATGTAGTTTGCTATCATACGCAAGGTTATTAATTATGCATGTTTGTTTTGACCCTACCTAGACCGGGCTTTTTTGGGCATGGGGAGACTTATTTGACCCCCCCCCCCTCAGAGCTCGTGAACGGTATACGTATGACCACCAAATTTTCAGAGGATGGTATACTAGTGTGAAATTTATCATCTCTTCAATTTTTATGTCGTTTTGACGTATTATGACGTCATTCTGACGTCATTAATGTGATTTTATTGGCGAAAACAATGTTATCCCTGAAAACTAAATGTTATTCAACGTAACTGTACCAAAAGTGTTTATGATAGAATATTAGGGTGTACACCGCACAAAATCCCTAGTTTCCGTGTGAGAAATTGCCGCACACTTTCCCGGATATTTTAGGTTTCCGGTAGAACCCGGGGGTTTCCGACCTGCACACGAAACGTGTCCAGTCCCGTACATGTCCTGTACACTCCCGGAAATGAACCACTTTTTGTGTGCAGGTCGTGTACTGGACGTTATATGCCCGAACACGATCCCTGTACATCCCCGTACACGGCAGGAAATGGCCGTGCACCGCTCCGTGCGTTGCTGGAAAATGCATAATTTAGCGGCAATTATCACCTAATTATTCTCCACACGGCAGCGGAAATTCGCCGTGTACGGGTCGGACATGCCGGTACTACACCCCCCCCCCCGGCCAAAACCCGCCCCGCTCTCGGGACCGGTTGCTCCCGTTCCCGGGACCCGTTGCTCCCATTCCCGGGGCCCTGCTGTTCCCGTTCTCGGGACCCCACTGCACCCACTTCGGGGACCCCCCTTCCGCTCCCGGGGCTTCGCTGCCCGGCTCCCGAGAATCGCTTCCCCCGCCCCCGGGACACATTTCGATGTTTTAGGAACACATTTCATTCATAAAAAAAAAGAATACATGTTTATACTTCATTCATCGTTTTATTGGTATAAACAGGATCGCCATTTACAGACTGACAAAAATAACGCTCTATGTATAGTGTATACACGTTATGCACTATGCTAACACTATACAATAATGTAACCTGGTACTTTACAAAAATGTGTAGCCGAAACATAGAAACAATAGCTTTTTCCCGAACTAGCCTTCCAGGGACTAGACTTTTAAAATCGTTGGACCCGGTGTAAACTCAGAAATTACTAGTAATTAACAGATTTCTCTAACTTTAAAAAGTAAACTAACATCACATCTCATCACAGTCACCTCCAAATAGAAGTCCATTTTAGCAAAAAATGTCAAAAAGTAACTAATACTGACATATCATCAGGTTAAAAGAGGAAAATAGCCCTCAGATCATGAAAGTGAATGGCGCTTACACAAACAGTCAAAAGACTAAATTTTCAATAAACAAAGAAGGCCTCAAACAAAGTTCTTCAAAATACATGTACGTGTAGCAAAAACATAATGGCAGACCTAACATGAAGTTAAATGAGGCTTGGCAGAAAACAATATCACGTCATTACAAAAAAAGATCATTTGCTCAGAAATTAATTACATGAACACGTATTCAATTTACAATGTCGTTAAAGACAAGCTGTCGGTTTCGTAAAGTTTGCGTTGTCGCCTCTACAAAATGAGGCTTAGTTGTAGATTTTAGGCCAGGAGGTATGCCCCCCCTTGCTTCAGGGGACCATAGCGAAACGTTTTCATCCTGGAAGGACAAACTGCCCCCTATCTGTCTGCGGGATGGCGTGGTGTTGGTGTCGGTGTGATCGCAGTCAGGCCGGAGCGGCGTGCTGGGCGCGGGGTGCACCCTGGGCGGGAGTGCAGCGGGGCCGGCCTGGGTCGTCGGAGCCTGCCGGGCGCTTTAACACAGCACCCTCGCCTTTAGATCTGAGCCTGGGTGTGCAGTCTGCCTGTTTGCCTCCAGCCTGGCCTGCAGGACATGGAAAAACGAAAATCTAAGTCAAAAGTCGAAGGCATTTCTGAATTTCATTTGAAGTTACGTGTACATGTACTAGACGTTTTATAAACAAGCCTGGCAAAGATGCGGACGTCTGTATGGACACATTTCGAGGAGAAGTCATTTTATCATTTTTAACGAATGTTTTTAACGTCAGACAGCAACAATTTTGTCCAGATGAAAAGGCTCCATTCATCAAGCATCAACGTCTACTTGTTTCTTTTCATTGTAATCATGGGAACAATACAAACACAACATTTCCCTCGGTAATGAAACAATTCAAATTTTCAAGAGCCTTGTCGGCTTTCGTATGCAAAGATATACATTTGCATAGACTCACCCTCTTCTGTGTGACTGCAGTCGCTTTTCTTTCTTTCTTTTCTGAGCTCTCCGACAGCCTGGGGATAAAGTTTCTTCAAATCGTCTCAAAGTATCCCAAATCCGCGCCTGAAAAAAAATACATATGTTCTGAGCAACATACAAACTATATCGATGTACTTCTAAGTAGAAATAATAAACTATGTTATTAATCAGTAAAAAAATAGTGTGCACTTCCTGCCAAAATAAATATTTCTGCCGTAGGCACAACTTAGCCAAGGTTTTTAAACAACATGTTTAAGATATATGTAACGATAGTGCCGTATATATAATAGTATCCTTGTTTTAGCTTACCCTTCCTCCTGTCGGTTTCCTGGTTCGTTGCGGTGTTGTCGGCAAATTGTAGTAGAGTCATTTCTTCCGTTGCGAAAACGAAGTAACAGAACGGAATGTTTGACGCCATTTTAGTTCAGGAACATACTGGTAATCTTTGCAAGCCGAGACAAACGTGTTTTGAAAAAGCAAACCGTCGTTGTGACAAAGCAAGATTCAAACGACCCACCAAAACAAAGCATCGCGTCTCTTATTGGCTGGTCCCGGCGAGAGCGAGATAGGATTGGTCGTCAGTCATATAATCACGTGATCGCGTTCAATTCTACAACGATCTTGTTATAGGTTTTAAGTTAAGGGGCAGTCTGAACACTTAGATGATAGGATGTTTCTGATTGTGTGAATGTATTTATTTCAAGGCAGACAAATGATCTTCATAATTCTAATTCGTCATGATTACATGGCTTTATTCGTTCTAGAATTACACAACTTGTCGCTCACTGAGTGAAATAAAACCGCACTTTAACTCCAACATAACCTTACTCTTTGTAAATGTATCCAAAATCCACAATTAATGTCATGAGGGTTGACTTGTTTTGCTGGATTTCAGTATTTTACCAGGCGTGGGGACGCTGTGAGTTCGTTCTCCCTTTGTTTACACAAAGGCTATTCACATAAATGGACACCATGTCAGACACATCACAATACACATCGACCGAACTACGTAACAATGTAAAGCTTGCATATTATTACCCATACATGTACCTAAAATCATAACAAACTGATCAGGTCACGTTAGTTCAAACCCCTTTAGTCAAGCGTTTGATTACATCATGGTAATGAACCTCACGGATAAACTATTATTTCCAAAATAAAAAATTCAGATTTAGACCGGAGTGTAGATTTAGGTCATTTTACCTCCATGTTTTGACCGAGTAGGTTATATAACCCCAGCGTCGCCCTACGCTCAAATGTGCTTTGTCGTATGGACGACATCACGATAAATCAAGCCAAGGACGCATAGGTTCAATTTTCAAATGTTGTATTAACAATCCTTGATCATTCTATATCTAATTTGCTTAGATTAAAGTACTGGCAACTTTGGTTCAATTAATTATCACCTGAAACATGAATACACGCAGTACCTAATTACCCCTTATTGTTAGCCGCTCCCCAACACACGCCAAGTGTGCGGGGCGTAAATTTCCGTGCACATGCACGGCGAGCACGAATCCGGGAGTGTAAGGAAATATCCGGGGCCGTACATGCGGAGCCCGGAAATCCATGGACGCGACCAGGACACGGCGAATTTCACGGGCGTGTGCGGGACTGGAAACTCTTGGAAACGTGGTTTTTCATACAGTGGTACTAAGTCTTATGTTGCCCACAGCAACACTGGTGACGTCAGAAAATGACGTCATGCATATTTAAGATATCCGCCATCTTGGATCATCAATCTTGAATTTTCAAAAATACTTTTTTTCATGATAAAGCCTAAAATACATTTTAAACATACTAAAGACCTTCATTAAATTTTAAACCTTTTTTGGAAAAAGAAATGGAAGTATTCATGAAAATTTAATGAAAAAAAAACTGTATATACTTGTTCTAATGATATGGTTCGCCATCTTGGATTTTGGCCTATGGCGTTATCAAATTAGCATAGATTATGCATATTTAATGATAAAATTAGCATAAATTTATATGGGATGTTATTAATATTAGAAACCATGAGTAATTTAACATAAAACTCATAAAATTCTATTGTTGAAACAAAAAGTACTAAATTTAGCAAAAAAATGCCTGTCAGAAACCCGTTGCCATGGCAAGACAAAAAATTATTATCTTATTGCAATGATAGAGAATTGTTGCCAACAATATTCTGGGAAAAGTCACCAAGTTTTGCCGTCCTAGGGCTAGCCATTCAGACGCTAGGTGACATCAAAGTTGGCGCGGACACTTTTACCCCCCCCCCCCGTCTAGGTAGGGATAACTGTTTT